GATGGCGACATTCAAGCAGTCCGAGCAGGACCGAGGGTTGGAGCAGATGCCGCCTGAGTACCAGGTGCATGAGTCTCCGCTGTTGGAGGATTCTGTCTTGGGGGCGCTAGTGAACACGATGGACCCGGCATCGCTGGCCGCACTGGCCGTGTTGACACTGCCGACGTCGGCTTCGCTGCTGTTCGAACCAGAGCTGCTCATGGCGGTCGGTGGGCGGAATCGCAACTGAGATTATGGCAGGAATGGGGCAATGAGCGTGAAGCCCATCGTGGAGTCCACATTGGACACTCCTGAGCGCGACATTTGCCAGAAACTGGGCGGAGACTATTCAATCTTCCGCGAAAAAATGGATTTTGGTGCGACCTCTGACAGAACATCTTTTTGGTTTTATTTGAAGATGCAAGCACAATACTATATAGAGGTATTCTAAATAGAAAAAGTATTTGCTTATATTATTTGATTAGACTTATAGAATCAAGTATTGGAGAGGTAGATGCGCTGGTACGAGATCAAGCAAAGTTGTCCAGATTCCGGGTTAACTTCAACTCGTCAGATTCGGCCAGAAACAAACAAGCTTTCGTTGAATTAAGCCAAATTGAATTAAGCCAAACCTAGCTGGAGAACGAGACTAATAAGCTGAGTTGGCGCAATTGATCGAAACCATGATGAGACTCTTGTTCAAGAAATACTTTTACGACGTGTCATGCCCAGCACCTGTATCAAGTTTCAACCATTCCATATGCAAAGGTTGGAAAGAATAATAGTTTTTTTATATTTTTGTTTTTATGTTCCATAATACATGTACTACACCTTTGCCCGTCCAAACTGAGATTAGTTTCAAGCAAAGCGGACAATTGTTTTTATGAAATATGAATATCAAGTTAGGCAAAAATAACCAGCAAACAAAGCGAGAATAATTTTATCCAAAACAAGACAAGGAAAGGCGGCAGCCGTAGAATGCGTGGTGGAGACGTCTTGGCGCTAAAATGCGCGCGAATGCCCGCGCACGAGGCTAAAGTAGCTCACTTCTCAATTCCCCTCCTCCGAAAGCACTCGCCCGCCGAGAAGCTTCGCGTTCTTTCCGCGCATCGTGCAGGGCGCGCTGACTGGCTTCAGGTGGCCGAGAACAACGGCATTTCGCGAGCAGTGGCCTACCGCATTGTCGCCTCAGGACGCGTGGAGGATCTGCCACGCGGCGGCGCTCGGGGTAGCGTCGTGAAGATTACAGAAGAGGCCAGGAACAAGCTCGAAGAGTACCTCAACGAGAATTGCACATTTACGTTAGAAGCTATACGTACGATGCTCTTTTTGGACATGGGAATTAACGTCTCCACCTCAACGATCTGCCGCCACTTGCTGGGCATGTTGTACACGCTAAAATAGACACGCATCGAGCCCATGACGTGCAACAATGATATCAACAAGACCAAACGCTTCAAGTTCGCGGAAGCTCTCAAGGACCATCAAAAAGACGGTGACTGTATTATCTACTTTGATGAGACTAGCTACAATGTGTGCTATAAGCGTGGTCGGGAACGCGCGCGTAAAGGAGAACGCGCTACACTGGTGATGCCACCGTCAAAAGGGGCCAACTTGCAAGTCCAGTGCGCGGTCAACTCAGCTATGGGTGTTGTACTCCATCGGCTGGAGAGGGGGAGTATTCGAATGGCCCAAAATGCTGGCTTTATCGACGAGATCTACCCTACAGTAAAGACGTCTCCTATCTTTCAAAGCAACTTTGCCGGTAAGAAGGTTGTTATCGTCCTGGATAACGCTCCTACACACCGCCAAACGGAAGAGCGGCTGGAAGAGCACGCCGACCTGAAGCTACAACGCCTCGGTCCCTACTCTCCGATGTGCAACCCCATCGAGGACTGCTTCTCCGTGCTAAAAGCACGGATCAAGGCGTATCTTGCTTTGTATCGCGAGGAGATTTGTGATTGAAGCAACATGGCGGATGATGACGGCACCCCGTTGACAATTAAGGAGCGTACCATGCGCTTCTTGGAGAAGGCGGCTGAAGCGAGTATCAAGTGCATCACCCCCACGTTGGTGACGAATATGGAGTTGCACTGTCGCGATGCGGTGAATGCGGCGGAGAAGATGAACGACATGGTCTACGATATCTAGGTCAGTAGATCGTCTCTTTTTGAATGAGATTATTCTCGGATTCATTGGTGCTTTTAATCACGTAAGAAGAAAATTGCAATAAACAAAAACGTGTTGTCCACTTTACTTGAGATTATTCTCAGTTTGGACGGGCAAAGGTGTAGTAACGGATATTTCGGAGCAATACCCAGGGTACTACTAAAAGTACCCTGTTCGATTAGCAAAAAAAAGGCCCTCTGTACTTAGAAAAGGTTACACTTCATTGCGTCTTACTCGCCGATTAAAGCGATGTCATCTAGACTATCTTGGAGCTCGTCAAGGTTGAAGCCGTCGTGTTCTTCATGGCTTTCACCTCGGACTTCCCAGATTGCACGGAACTGCTCTCCATAGAGATCGTGGCGTGCAAAGTGCCAATCCATCCAATTATCGGCGAACCCTGCGGCAGCAACAGAGTTTTTCGTTGTACTGATATCATGTCACGCCACGCGTTTAATCCACTGACAGACTATACCTACCGATGGCATACGCGGGTTATCAACCTGTGTGTACTCGACCTTGTCACTGTCCTTTTGCGTATTAATCTCCATGTAGAGTACATCCTTGAAAGACTTGTATATGCCTATATGTCCAGCCTACAAGTAGGGAGTGAGACCGCCAGGAATAACGCACATTTTCCGTCTCTAGCAGCGCACTTGGCCTTAACCTTCTTTGGGATGTGCACACGCATTCAATCCCACAGCAGATGTTCTGTGGCGTGTCGGGGTCGGCAAAATCTGCGAGATTGCTGGATTCAACTTCCCCAACAATACCCAAACACCGACTAACAGAGGGGGTCCCCTGTTGATCCGTGATCGGCTGAACTTGGCTTCCTTGTATAGCCGTCGGTAGGGCAGGATCTTGCACCTCTGGTAACTACAGAGAAGTTTAAATGGGTGAAGCTTAAATGTTTTGGCGAGACGCGATGATTGGATGGGGTAGAAGTGGAAGATCTTCACACTACGTCTGAGGTAGTGTACAGATCACAAGCGAGTACTTCGAGAGAGTAGGATCTGGTGGTCTTGATCTGGGATCTTGACCGTAGGTAGTCTTGTGGAT